CGGGCTCCTTGCTCAGCAGGGAGTCTGCTTCTCCCTCTCCCACTCCCCCTGCTTGTGTTCCCTCTCTGGCTGTCTTTCTCTCTGTCAAATAAATGAAACCTTAAAAAAAAAAAAAAAAAAGAAAGAAAAGCACCTCTTAGATACTTACCCCTTCTCAAGATACAATTCCATTATGTGGCAGGAAGCATAGGGAGGAAGGAGTCCATTGTAAACATCTAGTGCCATCTGTAGGCCACTCACGGTAGTGTCATGCTGTGGGGATTTGAAATAAATCATTTTTGATCTTTACCTCTGGCTCAGATGTACATTCCACGGGTAGTATTAAGCACTTGTAGAGAACTATGGTTTCTGATTCACTTAAATTTGCCATACCCCCATGTTAGAAGGGAAGAACTAATTTTGGTGGAGCATCTGTTGTGTGCGAGGCAGTACGCTTTTTTTTTTACATATCATTATTCCCATTAAAAAGATGAACAAACCCAGATAAATTAAGTAACTTGCTTAATGTCATATAACCCCAAAATGGAGGAAAGTAAATTTGAGTCTAGTGTTCGGGTTTTGTACCATGCTTTTTCCCAGTGGAACATCTCTGTTTTAGCTTGTTTCATTGATTTTCATTATATTTTAAAATATTTTGGAACATATTAATGCTAGATTATATTTCTTCTGCAGATTAGAATAATGTGTGATTTTAAAGTTGGGGAAAAGGGGTGCCTGGGTGGCTCAGCCGGTTAAGCATCTGCCTTTGGCTCAGGTCATGATCCCAGGGTCCTGGGATCAAGCCCCGTGTCAGGCTCCCTGCTCCGTGGGGAGTCTGCTTCTCCCTCTTCCTCTCCCTCTCCCTGATTGTGTTATCTCTCTTTCTCAAAGAAATGAATTAAAAAATCTTAAAAAAGTAAAGTTGGGGAAGAACATATAATATTATAAATGATAGAGAGGTTAAAATGTGAGGAGATAGAGCGCATAGCTGAAAAATAATTGTTAATTGTTTATCCCAGAGTGGCTGGAAGGCATAGGGCTGGTTTTCAGTCCCAGTTTGGCCACTAATTAATTACATAATCTTTGAAAGTCCTCAGCTTCTATATCTACAAAATGGGCATAACATCTGGTTGCCTAAACTATATGGCAGTATACACATATTAAAAAGGGCTCAGAACTGATTTACTGGAGAAGGAACTAGACTTACAGATTTAAAACTTGCCAGAAATCATACAAGTTAGAACGGGAAACCAGATGAGAAACTAAAGAAACTGGCAGAACGGACTGGTTTCCGGAAGCCCCTCTCCAGGAAGGACCACACTCTGTTCCGTCCATGAGCTCTTTGTCTTATACCATTCAGAACCTCTGCTGATAAACAAACTTCCCTGTATCTGGAGTCACCCCTTCCATCTTCCTGCAGAATGAAAACATGGCTTTCTCCAGCCAAACCACATCCCAGAAATCCTCTGTCCTAGAGAAGTGGGTGGGAAACCGAGTTCCCATACTGTGTGTCCGGGTTCCCTGCTCACTGCAGACTCCACGGACAGCCATTTCAGTGCTCAATGCACCCCTTGAATCTCCGTGCCCCCCAATCTCCCTGGCCCCCCTGAGCAGTGCCTCTTTCCCTGGCTTCTGCTCCCAAGGCTGAAGTCTTCTCCGAGACCTCCCTTTTTCTTTCTGCACCCAGTTTGGCTCTAACTTCACATTGCGGCTCTTTTTCCCCTTCTCTCTTCTAGTCCCTTTGCCTCCTGGAGATTTCTATTTGGAAGTTCCCTAGCATTTCAAACCCAGTTGTCTAAATTGTTACATTCCCCTGGCCCAAGAGCACCTCAGTTAATGGCTCCACTCTCTTCCCAGTCCTGGAGGCTTGAAACATGGCCTTCGTCTGTGGTTTTACCTCCACATCGTTTCTCCCTGCCCGCATCCCATTCATCACCGCATCCCGTTCATGCTCTGCTTTTAGTTTGGAACAGAAGTGATGCTTCCCTTCTCTGTGTCACCAAAGCACTTGCTTGCGCTGCATTTCTATACTGCTCTGCATGGTGCTTATGACTTCTCGTCAGTCCTAGATTGTAAGCTCCTCAAGGGCCAGAATTATGTATCTAATTTTAAAATTAAAATTTAAAATAAAAACAAAACAAAATACAATTTAAAAATGCCAACCACATAGGTGGTCATCTATACACATATTTAGGAGAGCTGAAGAATCAATATCTAAAATGTCTACCATCTACTGGGCAATAGGGAAATGATGATGAAGAAAATGAGGCTCCTGCCTTAAAGAGATCACTGTCTGACCGAATGGATGTTGAGTGGAGGTGAAAACACTTACTGCAGAGTACATGACAAGTTTTCTGCGGTTTGATGGCTGAGTTGCACTCTTCATGTGATTGAGGATCTCACTGACCAGGACACCTTAGAAAAGACAGATCAACAAAGGAGCTGAACCAAACATGGGCTTAAACTTTTTGTTAATTCCTACTTCGTGATTCTCCCTGCCATGATTCTTAAAACTTAAGAAAGGGAAAGAAATTACTTTGGTCTTGCTTTATGTTATTTTACTGAATCCCGACTTCTATCCCCCATTTACAGTGGGAAAGCTGAGGCCCAGCGACATACGGTGACTCATATACAGGCTGGGCAAGGAGAGTTGGATTGACACACGAGGACCCTACTATCCCCAGGTTTTGTCAAAGCTTGAGATAGGAGGTTGAGGAACTTGGAAGGAATTACAAATGGCATTTTTCAGACAGTTGCTAGCTAGTGCTCTTCTCCAGGGCAGCCCTGAAATGACAGCCTGGCATCTATTCTGTCTTCATCCCTCTTGCTTCTACTCTCTGGGAGTCAAACCATTGGGAGGCCATGGGAGAAAGCAGCTCTCTGGATGTCTGTATAGGTCATGGAATATTTTCTGTGGACTATTTCTCCAGGTTACCCTGGGGATCACTATTAAGGGGCAGCCAGCATCTTCCATCTGAGGGCTCCATAGAGGAGAGCTCTTGCCCTTCATGTTGTTGTTCCTGAGGTGGTGAAGGGCAGGCACAACTCAGAGTCTCCATCCTCTTGGCAGGCACTGAAGACTGAGTGGTATCTTGGGGTGGCAGGTGCTGGCTTGAGGACATGGTGCCCCAGGGATTTCCACAACCATCACCTGAAGACTCCTTATATTTCTGGTGGTTTTTTTTTTAAGGTTTATTAATTTATTTGAGAGAGAGAGAGCACAGGGGGAGGGGCAGAGGGAGAGTCTGAAACAGACTCCATGCTGAATGTGGAGTGGGATGTGGGGCTCGATCCCACGACCTGGAGATCACCACCTGAGCCGAAACCAAGAGTCAGAAGCTCAACCAACTGCGCCATCCAGGCACCCCGGTGGTTTCTTTACTACATGTGTACTCTCCTGGCTTCAGAATGACCAGTTTGTTTTTGTAAAGAGCAGGGCATTGATGTTAACAGACTGTCATTCCCGACTCTGTGGTCCACTCAGCAAACACACTGAGCAGCTACCATGGGTCAGATGCTATGCTAGGTGAATCAGACTCCTGCCCTCAAAAAGCTCCTAAAATAGTACAAAGAGACTGTTTTTTCATCTGTCTACCAAGAGGCACCATAAAGGGTTAATTAAGAAGGGAGGCGGTCTGCTCTCTCTGTAGATGCTGGGACTCCCTTGACTAAGAATAGAAGAACCTGGAAGCCACATCTCCAACAGGTCTACATCACTCTGCTTCAGCGAAGGTGGCTTTCTCAGCGTCCTTTAGGGACAACACCATCACCCATCAGCAACCTGTCCTTCGACAGGTGCCTCTGCAGCAGCCTTCGGTGTTGATAATGGGATATGAGATCAGCTCTTGGTTCTGGGGGTGGTTGTCCACCTTGCCCCAGAAGAACCGAGGGGTAACCACCACAGTTACCCCAGGCTCTGGCGTGCCAATAATTATGTTTTATGGGAGGGGCACGGAGGTTCAGAGATATTCAGCAACGTGCCCAAGATTCCACACCCTGTGCACAGAGGGGCTGAACGTCTCTGAACCCAGCATGTCTTAATCATTTGACTACCCCGTAACACAGGCTAATTTCTGAGTTCCCTGTTGCATCATTTACTGACTGCATACACTAGACAAAATATCACTGACTGGAAGACAAAAACTTCCCTTCCCACAGTCTTGAGCTACAGCAGGGGCTGGTATACTTTTTCTGTAAAGGGCTAGACAGTCAGTGTTTTAGGCTCTGTGGACCCTATGGTCGGCCATAACAGTTCCCTCTCGGGGCGAAGCCCCAAAACAGCCATAACACTACCTAAATGAATGTGGCTGAGTTTCAATCATATTTTATTTATAAAAAATAGGCAGCAGGCTGGATTTGGCTTGCAGGCAGTAGCTTACACCAACCTGGTACGCACAGCAAGGACAGGTTTGCATTAATACAGATATGACCAGCCATATATCAAAAATTCCTAAATGAACCTTAGGAATTTTTGTGATGTGTGTGTGTGTGTGTGTGTGTGTGTGTGTGTCTGTGTAGAAGGAGATGGGTGGAGGAGTACAGAGTACCAAACTGTGTCATCCCTAAAACCAACTGATTGAACAAAAGTTTTGGCACAGATCGGAAGATGCCAAAATCCTGATGTTCCTGTGTGACTCTGTGTCACCCAGACTATACAGGTTTTCTCTGTAGGATTGTGTTTAGTGGCTTCATCATCCAACAAGCATGCAGTTGCCAAACCTCCCTGGCCTAGCCAGATCCAAACAATAGGCTGAACTCGGGTTTTGGCAGGGATCACTCAGGAAACAATTTCCTGGCCAGTCAATAGCCTGGACTTCTCCAGAAAATAGGACAGGTGCATTCACACAAATACCTGCCTTTGGAGTCTGAGACTGAAAGAACAGCTTAGGGAAGGACTCTTAATAGACAGAATCTAGTTTAACACACTCATAAGAGAGGGAAACCGGATTGAGCGAGAAGTTACTTCCCTGAAATGCAATGTCTAGTAGTCAAAGGAAAACAAGAAGAGGAAACATGAACAAACTGCGAGGAAATCCCCCAGTTTTTCTTCCTATGCAGACTCCTGCATCTGTTATTAGACTATTCTCAGTTTCTGCCTGGCTCTCCCTGACTATTTCTTCAGCATTTCTTGCATCTAGAGAAGTGCTTCTGAACTTTCATGTTTCGTGAGGTGCCTAGGGATTTCGGGAGAATGCAGATTCTGATTCAGCTCATCTGGGGTGGGGCCTGAGATTTTGCATTTCCAACCAGAGGCTTGGGGATGCTCTTGCTGCTTCATGGACGGCATGTTGAGTAGTGAGGGCTGAATTGCTCAGACCATCTTGACTGGGGTGGGGGAACTCAATCAAGAGCCCTGTCTCCACCCTCTGATGTGACTTGGGATTGGGTCCTACCTCTGGTACCTGGTGGTTCAGGATTAAGACCTGGTGTATGTGTAGCCAATGGGGACCAACGTCCACCCTCTGCCTCCTTTTTTGTTTACACATCAGATTGGGCTGCTGCCTGGGCCATGTCCAGTGAACATCTGCCCAGTCTGGTCCAATAGCCAGGATGCTTTGCCTCTAAGTCTCCTCCTGGGGCTCTGCTGAACTGGTCCTGACCCCACAGTGAAGAGGGTCTGGTAATGGTTGGAGTCTTGATGTGATTGCTCTGTTTTTCTCCAACTGTCCAGAGTCTATGACTTGGAACGTCTCCTGTGGCTGAGAATTTCTTCACTGTTATGTCAACCTGACATAATGGACCTCCTCTTGCTCTCCATCCTCACTTTTAATGTCTACATTAACAGCCCCTAGAGGTGACGCCCCCTTTGGTGTCTTGGCCTACAGCGCAATTGACCTCAGAGGCATCAGCGTCTCTTGCTGTTCTGCCTGGTTCTACCTTCTCTCTTCCACCTACCTATCCTGATTAGAAGGGCTTGGCAGCCTCTTGCCCAGGTCTACTTTTATTATGATAGGATGTCCTATGCTATGAAGGGCCAAATCCAGCTGAAAGGAGGCATCACTGAGAAATAAATGCCTTTCAACACCAATGGAAAAATTTAAGCTGTGTCATAAATTTATCGATTGTAATATGTATTAATCTACATAACATAATTAGTCTGCAAAATATGTTTTACTAACTTTAACAATTGCTACCTCAGGAAAATGGGCCCCTTTTGTCATACTTCCCACTTGAAAAATTCATCCTATAGGCCGCCAGACACAATTGCTTTCCGTGGGGCTTAGATACAAAATCCTTAATCGTTTGATCTGGAAAGGATGAAAAGGATCCTTTAGCTTTATCCCAAAGTGTCCATTTCCCAGATGGGAAAACTAAGGCCCAGAGTGGGTAACGTTAATGACTATGAAAACACATAATGTTTATTGACAGTGTATTATGTACCAGGTACTGTTTGTCCCAAACTTTTTGAATACACACATTTATTTTAATCCTTACAACCCGTGAGGAGGGTATCATTATTATCCCCATTTTGAAGAATGGAAACCAGTGTAGGAGCGATGAAGGGACCAGTCCAAGGTCACACAGCTGATTAGTGGTTGGACGACACTCAGGCCCCCATCACTCCACCACAAATCTAGCACAGTCCTTTTACTTTTTTATATACTTACCCCCCTGCAGTCTAGATTTCTCTTTCTGCTTGTGAATTCCATAGAGGGACAGGATGGACAACTCTGATAATTCTTTCAGCTTAGTCATGGTGTCCTCTGTGGCCCAGGAGGGTAAAGTGAAATTGTGAACACTCTGTAGCAAAGAAAAAGGGAAGAAAATGTGTATTTTTAAATGATTTTTTGTCCTCTTTGTCCCACAAGAACTACTGGGTCTAGCCTTATCCTGTTGTTTCTCTCTAGGAAAACTTTATTTTTTTATTTTTTATTTATTTTTTAAAAGATTTATTTATTTGACAGAGAGAGAGAGAGCACAAGCAGCGGGAGCAGGAGAGGGAGAAACAGGCTCCCTGCTGAGCAGGGAGCCCCGATGTGGGACTCGATCCCAGGACCCTGGGATCATGACCTGAGTCGAAGGCAGATGCTTAACCAACTGAGCCACCCAGGCATCCCTAGGAAAACTATTTTGTGATAAGTAGTGGTATTGATTTTCAGAAGGGAAGTTCACAGAGACTGATTTGCTCCTTCCTACCAAGTCCATAGCTTTTGGCTGAACTGTGGATGCAAAGGGGGATTCCTATTTTGCAGAGTAAGGGTGAGGTAGGGCAAGAATGTACCTCATTCCTTTATGAAAGGTTTAGAGATCTATGAACCTGGGGGGAAGGTGACACTGACAGGCTTAGATGATGTTTCTGTCAAAGCTGAGTGAGTGCCCTTAGAGGACAGCTGGGAGAGGCAATGTATTTCTGGAGCCTTCAGTACCAGACCCTCCACTCCCATCAGCTTCCAGTTTACTGCCTTCTGGGGAATGTGCCCTGTACACACAGTAGGATCTTGGTGAATATGTATTAAATGGATGAATAAGCTAGACAGCCGGACTGGTGTAGACTTCCTGCCGATATTTCTTACTTGCTATGAAAAGTTGATTAAGAATCCAGATTCAAAGGTAGGATTGAGAGAGAGAGAGAGTACTTGAGAGAGGAGATCAAAGTGGAGTGCCCAGGGAGGAAATAAGTGGGAAAGAAGTGAAAAGGAAACCACGCACCACGGCCACATCATGCAACAGCTCAGATCAACCCGTAGTAAGGAAGGAAAAAAAAAAAAATTAAGACTTGAACCAAAATATGGGCTCTTGTCTCTATTGAAGAGTTGTTTTTTTTGTTTTTTTTTTTAAGATTTGTTTATTTGGCGGGGGGTGTGGTGGGGTGGGTAGGGGCAGAGGAAGAGGAAGAGAATCCCAAGCAGGCTCCACACCCAGGGCAGAGCCTGACATGGGGCTCAATCTCATAATCCTGAGATCATGACCTGAGCCTAAACCAAGCGTTGGATGCTTAACCGACTAGCCACCCAGGTGCCCCTCAAGAGTCTTTTATAAGGCTAATAAGTCTTCCTTGAAACAGATGTTAATGATAAAGTGAAAATATCAGGAAGGTCATGTGAAGGTCAATAAACTGTTGTGGAGGGGGGCAAATTGTGTCGTTTGTTACTGACACGGAACCGTGAAAATAATTGCTGGCCCCCAGGCCCTTATGATGACCTCAAGATCAGAGGTGGATATAAGTCCTGTGGGTGGTCAGAATTTTGCCCCAGGATTCAGTGAACCCAGTCAGGAAAACAGGATTACAGAGTACTCCTTTTGGCCAGTAGGTGGTGCATAGTGAGTGAAAAATACCAAGTTAGCCTTGAAAACCCCAATGGTAAGTGAGTTTCAGAGGTTATTTCATATGCATGTGTGGCAAGGAAGAGATTCCCAATAAACCAATTTCAATAGCCTGGCTTAAAGTTGTCTTGCTTATTTCTATATCCAGAAATCAGGTACCCCCCCCTTTTTTTTGGCTCTGTCTATATAATAACATTGCTTTTTTTCATTAAAATCCGTAACAGGAGCCCAGCATTCCTGAGTGACTGAAAAATAAGTAAACGGCAAGACATAGAAGAAAAGCAATTTTGCCTGCAATTTTCGAAAGTGTGAAAACATAAATAACGGAGAGAAAAAGTCAGTTTTCAATTTAATGTAAAGAAGTCTTGAATTATGTTTCAATGTCAAAGGAAGCATAATTAATATATCTGCCAAAAAGTGTAAGAAAGTGTATTCATCTGTTTCAAAATAGGCGTAAGTCAAAAAATCAGACTGCAAGTTAATTTTTGATATTTTTTTCTTTTACCTCACAAAATAAAGGGTCATAGACTTTAGTCCACATTCCAAAAAGGTCCTGGGTATGGTATCCTGTAAATGTTGGCAAGGTTTCTATAAAATCCTGAAACACACACGGACAGAGAAAGCATTTCCACATTAGAGTCCCTCCATTTCAGCATTACTGATATTTGGGGCTGGATAATTTTGTTGTGGAGGGTGCCCCGTGCTTTGTAGCGTGTTTGGCTGTATCCGCAGTCTCTACCCACCAGATGATGAGCATCATCCCTAATCCCTCAGTTGTGACAACCCAAAGTGTCTCCAAACATTGCCCGTGTTCTCTGTGGGGCAAATCTGCCCCCACTGAGAACACTGTTCTTCACATAAAAGTGCAGCGGGAATATTGGCTGTGGTAATATGAACCCAAAGAATTTCACAAACACTAATTGATCATTTTTCATGATTACAGTAAAAATGTGGGTGCATGCTGGCTTACTGCCACGTGTTCCTGGTTTGTCCTGGAATCAGGCCAAGTGTACTACCTCAAAATTTTGGGGGAAGTAGGTGAAGTAGAACTCACACATAAATGACTGATCAAGATGAGAAGGGAAACCATGTCTTAGGCCAAAGCACCTCAGGAATATACCACAGAAATTGGACCTGCTATCTAGCTATACATTTGAAATTTGGGTGGGATGCAAACATTTCTCTAGGTTCTGTGTTATTCTTGGGTTGTCATGGTAAAGAGACCCACTATTCAGCTATCTGCCTGATGAATTTGGCAGCAATTTCTGGGAATCCTTGTGGAAGATATTATTTAATGGATAAATTTTCTAGGAAAATATAATTTGCCAATTTAACCTAAACAGATATCCACAAAATAAATATAATTGTTGAAGATCTTCCCCCAAACCAAGCCTAACCAAACCAAAGCCCCAGGGCCAGATGACTTTATGGAGGAATTCGACCAAGATTTTCAAGAGTAAATTATTCTAATGCTATTTTAACTGTTATAGAGTATAGGGAAAAAAAAAAAAAAGAAAATTTCCAAAATATTTTTATGAACTAAGGGCAACACAGACACTGACAAAATACTGGCTAGAAAAGAAAACTATAGTCCAATGATACTTTGAATATGAATGCAAAAGGTCTGAGTAAAATATTAACAAATAATTCAATATCCAAAAAAGGGGCCTGAGTCTAGACATGTAAAGATGGCTCATTAGTAGCAAATCTACAAATATAATTAACCTTAGTAATTGATCCAAGGAGAAAAATAACTTGATTATATATATATTTTCAAAGACTTATTTATTTGAGAGAGAGAGAGAAAGAGAGCACTCACACATTGGGGGAAGGGGCAGAGGGGGAGAGAGAGAGAGAGAAGCAGACTCCCCGCCGAGCAGGGAGCCCGATGCGGGACTCGATCCAGGGACTCCAGGATCATGACCTGAGCCGAAGGCAGTCGCTTAACCAACTGAGCCACCCAGGCACCCACCTTAAAAAATTCTTGAAGAACAAATAGGATAATGTACCAAGAAAGGAATACTCAACATCATAGAGTTGTGCATTCTCCAAGTTAATTATTATTAAATATATTATTCCACAGATATTCTTGTGAAATTATTTAGATGCACAAGATACTCATACAGACTGTAAATGATTGGAAATGACTCACTTGTCCATCAATATAGACTGGTTAAAGAAAGTATGGTACGTCCACGAATTCCAATGCAGTTATAAAAAATGAGGAAACTCTTGGGGCGCCTGGGTGGCTCAGTTGGTTAAGCGACTGCCTTCGGCTCAGGTCATGATCCTGGAGTCCCGGGATCGAGTCCCGCATCGGGCTCCCTGATCAGCAGGGAGTCTGCTTCTCCCTCTGACCCTCCTCCCTCTCATGCTCTCTGTCTCTCATTCTCTCTCTCGCAAATAAAAAAAAAAAAAAATGAGGAAACTCTTTACGTACAAATTGAGTAATATTTCTAAGATATATTGTTAAATGAAAAAAACCCCAGGTGTCCAACTCTGTGAATACAGTATACTACTTTTGTGTAGCAAAGGGGATACTACCAGAATATATTCATATTTATTTGCATATGCATAAAGAAACTGCAAGACTATATAAGAAAATGCTGCCATCAGTTACCTGTGGGGTCATTAAGAGACTTTCCACTGTATTCCTTTTTATATTTTTTAAATTTTTGAACCATGGAAATGTGTTAGAGATTCAAAATTTTGTTTTTTAAAAACACAAAGCATTATATCTACCTTTTAAGCATCGTCTTTTAAAAAGGGGTATTTTGCAAAGTGGAAACAAAATAAAAAAGACTATCCTTTATATATGAAATCAATGGTCCCAGCCCCTCAGCGTCATTAGGGCAGATCATTTTAGCCTTGCATTTATTCTGACCCAGCCATGCACTCTCGTCTGGTTCCTTCTGGCACATGGGTATAGGATTAGAAAGGGACTGGCTTCTTTACTGGCTTGTGGCCCCACGCAGGGAAGGGGACCAGACAGTGATGACTGACTGTCATTAAATGTTTTAACCCACTGCTCTAACTGGCCACTGGCAGACACATTCCTCCCACACTTTTTAAGAAGCTGGAGCTTCATCCTTTTTCTTGACCCTCACCCTCCTGTGCAACACTAAATGACATGATTTTTAACCTTGTAAGGATGCAACCTCTTCTGGAATTCCGTCGATTTGAGAGTCTCCTCCTTAAGTTCTGTAAAATGAGGGCAGTCCTGGAAAGGCAGGTATAGCAACTGAGGACAAAAGAAAAACCACAAATTCTTTATTAGTCAGAAGAACTTTGCTAAAGAAGCTGCAGCCATATTTTAAGCCTCATTAGGTGCAAAGTGATCTGAATAAAAGATTCAAATGTGTTTGAGCTGAATGGAAATTCTAAAATTGAGGAAAAAGAGATAAATGGTCTGTAAGTCTTACATAGTAGGATATGCACCCAGAACTGAAAAGCTTTTTTCTCCCCCCCTTTCATGAACTTGCCTAAATAGGACTTTGTTGGTAAATATTCACACTTCCTGGTTTTCCATGTTGATATAACTATTATCTCGATTCCTACTGGACCTCTTATATTTCTAGCATGAGATACACATGTGTGTGCAAAGGCATCCTGCCCCTCCACCCCATGCACACGACTATAGAGAAATGAATAAGAGGGGGTGCCTGGGTGGCTCAGTCATTAAGCGTCTGCCTTCGGCTCAGGTCATGATTCCAGGGTCCTGGGATCAAGTCCTGCACTGGGCTCCCTGCTCTGCAGGAGGCCTGCTTCTCCCTCTCCCACTCCCCCTGCTTGTGTTCCCTCTCTCACTGTGTCTCTTTCTCTGTCAAATAAATAAAATCTTAAAAAAAAAAAAAAAGAAATGAAAAAGAGTTCTGGATAGAGATTGATTAACCATTCATTGACTTAAGTTCCAGTCCAAATAAGGGCATTATTATTAATAATATTATTATTAAAACCCATTATGAGGACAAAGGGGTGAGTTTAAATTGGACAGTCCTCATCCTCTGTAACCTTATCTCTAGGCTAGTGACTCCTCAGCTTATTTTGTTGCTCTGACTTTCCATTTGTGGCTGGTCTTCTCTTTCCAGCCCTTAGTGGACATCACTTCTTGGATGTTTCTTTGCTTCATCAAGTTTAACATGTACAAAACTGAAGTCAACTTCATTTTTAACCATTTTGCCTTTGTAATCTATCTACTTTGGCCAATGGTAAAATTTATCATCCTGTTTCATAGACTAATCAGTTTTGCTTGTTTACTTTCAAGATATATCCAAAATAGACTCCTCTTCATCATATTCATTGTTCCCTCCCAGTCCAAACTATCATAACCTGTGTTTCGACTAATGCAAGAGCCTCCTATCTGGTCAGTAGGCATCCATCCATTCTTTCCATCTTTACAATTCATTCTCCATACCATAGCTACCCTAATCCTTTTTGTTTTATTTTTATAAATACAAATCTTTTTAAAGCATTAATCAGATCATGCCATTTTGTAGTTTATAACCTTCACAGGCTTTCATCTTACTTGGAATAAAATCCAAACTCAGTTAACCCTAGAGATCTCTGTCCTGCTTTCCTGCTACTGCCCCCTTATTCTTCTCCAGCAACACTGGGGCCTCCTTGTTGTCCCCTGAACTCAGGCTTGGGGGCTCTGCAGACTGTTCCCTGCCCGAGACCTTGCCCCTGGTGACCCCCACCAGGCTCTTCTAACTCAGGCCCAGCCATGATCACATTACCTTGCTTTATTTCCTTTGGGGAACTCATCGCCATTTGAGATTATTACTATTTTTTACTTTATCATCTATTTCCTATAAAATGTCATCTCAAGGACAGCCAGAATCTTGTCTGTCTTGTCCATTGCTGTGTTGTCAGTGCCTAGAACAGAGCCTGGCATATTTGTAGCTGCTCTGAAAACTTTTTCAAAATAAGTTGCTTCCTGAGGCACCTGGGTGGCTCAGTGGGTTAAGCGTCTGCCTTTGGCTCGGATCATGATCCTGAGGTCCTGGGATCAAGCCCTGCATCCGGCTCCCTGCTCAGTGGGGAGTCTGCTTCTCCCTCTGCCCCTTCCCCCCCACTCATACTCTCTCTCTCAAATAAATAAAATCTTAAAAAAATAAAAATAAGTTGCTTCCTGATTCTATCATTTGCCTTACTTTTCTTTCCTTCCTCTCATGTCTTTACCATCTAATTTCAAACCTTCGTTTCCTCATTCCTGAATGGCTTCAACAGCTGTTCTCTGAGGCTCCAGTATCCTTTCCTTCCAAACCGTGGTCAGACAGATGCCTCAGAGCACGGCTCATCATGTGCGCACAGGACTGAAGAACGAACGTGCACAGGTTCTTTTTATGTCCGTGGCTTTACAGCTCAATTTCCCTGCATGGCCTTCCAACTTTCCCACCGAAGGAATGGCACTGCGGAGGAATGGGCACAGGACTCTCCATTTAAAGGTCTAGGTTTTAGTGAATTACTCAGCCTTCCTAGACTTTTGTTTTCCCATTCCACATCTTGAAAGAGGCTGAAAATAAGTGGGATAATCATCTCAATATTTGACCAGCATTTTGCAATTCACAAAAGGTCTTCCATTTCTTAACCAGGTTTTCACAAGTCGTCCTGAAATATTTAGTTTCTCCTGTCTGTGCCCAACATGGTCAGACATTTTCATTCCTTCTAAATAAGAACTCTGGACACAGAAGGGCAAGCCCTCTGTATATTCACCCACTGCCATGCTTTTGGGCTGCCTTCTTCTCCTTTCCTTCCCTCCTCCGAGGTCTGGTTCAAGCTCTCACTCTCTCCGTGAAGACTGGAATGGCTGCCCTGTGGTAGAGCCACGGGCGTCCTTTTGTGAGCTCCTCGAGCAGGTGCAGCTTGTCCTTGCTTCATCGCCCACCACTTGGTATCTTGGTCTACACGTGTCACACATGCAAATCTGTTTTCATCAAATGGGTGATAAATTAGGGAAGAAACCTGGCCTCATGTTTCTCTACAGCACTTAGCACAGCTCTGGGAATAACTGTGTATTGACTGATGGATGTTTGTTAGGTTTCTTAGTTGATGTTAGAACTGTTTTTATCTTAGTGAGGACATAGCTGGAAGCCATGGGTAGATAATCTTGCTTCTCTTCCTCATTCCCCTTTGTTTCTCTTTTCCTTTTTTTAAAGATTTTATTGATTTGACAGAGCGTGCATGAACAGGGGGGAGGAGCAGAAGCAGAGAGGGAGCAGGCTCGACCCCAGGACCCCGAGATCATGACCTGACCTGAAGGCAGACGCTTAACTGACTGAGCCACGCAGGCGCCCCTCTCTTTTCCTCTTCTGATAGCTCCTATAGTCTCTTTCCTACATAATTTTATTACTATCTTTTGGGATTAAGGATTAAACATCTACCTTGGTCTACACTGGCTAAATTTGGTGCTGCTGTCCATGTCTATCTATGCAGAAAAGGCTGTGGCAAAAGTGATTTTTTTTTCTTTTGGAAGAAAATATTCACAAACTCCTAAGAATACTGATCATCATAATACTTCTCTCTTGATTCTGTGAAGGAAAGAGGTACAAACAAATCATCCTGTCTTGTCAGGAAACCAGAAAAAGTGGTTGGAGTAGACTTACCTTGAGTGAGGTTGACAGGGTCAGGCTGTTTCTACAAAGTATTTGGGAAAGATTCTTATGTCATCAGATGCAACAGTTAAGTCAAATGTCTAGGAGTACTGGCAGGGCAAAGAGGTTGGAAGCCTACCCCAGGGGCCCCTGGGCAACAGTCCAAGTACAGAAGTCATGCTAAACCTCAGCTACCAAGAGATGACATGGTCATCCTTACAGTGGGACTGCAGGGGAATCAGCACGGATTCCTTGTCCCAAAACTTTCCCTTCAAATAGTCTTTTTTTTTCTTTTAATTTTTATTTTTTAGAAGGGGGAGGAGCAGAGGGAGAGGGAGAGAGAGAAACTTAAGCAGTCTTTACGCCCAGCATCAGAGCCTGAAGCAGGGCTCGATCTCACCACCCTGAGATCATGAGCCAAGCCGAAATCAAGAATCGGACACCCAACCGACTGAGTCACCCAGGTGCCCCTCCTTCATATAGTCTTAAATTCCACACCTGGGAGATTAGTTAGATTTATTTTATACTATTTAAAACCAAAAGCAATTCCTCTGAAAATATTGAAGAGCTTTTGGTGCATCCTACCCAGTGCAAAATAAATTTGAGAGTTTCTCTCAAATAGCCTCATTCAGGCAGCTTGGTTTATGGTACTGGTTCTCACACATGGCTGTCCACTAGAATCATCCAGGGGGATTATTTTAAAAGTACTATGCCTACATCCCACCCTCAGAGATCCCGATTTGTTATAGAGAGTGCCCTAGGTGCCAGGATTTGAAAAAAATTTTTTCAGGTAATTCTAATATAATAACTTTGAGAACCACTAGTTTATAGGGAAGGAAATTGCTCTGGAATGAGATAGGCCTGGTTCTAGTCCCAGTAGCGATGCTTACCAGCTTTGCGGCACTGGGCCTATTTTGTTTCTTTCTCTGAGCACATATTTCCCTGGCTATAAAAGGAGAACAGTAATATTGCCCATTGAAGGTTGTTATGAAAGGTAAATATGGTGGCACATATCAAAGTGCTGGTCACTGACTATGCCCTCAACTCTTTTCTTTTTTCCCCACCTCAGAATGGGGGTTTTCATGTGGGGAGGGGTATTTTGTAGGTAGAGAGGTCTTAGAATATTCTGGAGGGAGGAGAACCCTATGTGGGGCACCAAAAGCTTGGGAATTGAAAGTAGAACAAGGGGGAACTCTGTGTGTGTGTGTGTGTGTGTGTGAAGATGGAGAGGGGCAAACTGCCATTTTTTAAAAAAGATTTATTTAGAGAGAGAGAGTGAGCACGTGGTGGGGAAGGGCAGAGGGACAAGGAGAGAGAAACTCAAGCAGACTTGGCATTGAGCGTGGAGCAAAAGAGCCCAATGTGGGGCTCGATCCCATGACTGGGAGATCACGGCCTGAGCCAAAACCAAGAGTTGGCCGCTTAATTGACTGTACCACCCAGGTGCCCCCATGTTGCCATTTGTTGAAAGGGTGGCAAAACAAAGTGGATGATAAAGGTCCAAACTGAAATTCTGTTCCTACTCTCTCTTCCTGGGGCTTCCTATGTCCTACTTTGTCCTTAGCAGCTTTATTTAGAAAAGGATTAAGATTGCACAGACCAAGCAGTGTCTAGACCTCCAAACCCACAAGTACTGGGCAAACTGCCTTCCTCCTCCTAGGCCAAATAGGAGGTTTTTCCAGAATACTCACCCGATCTTCAGAAAGAGAGAGTGTGTGCACTGGGATGGGCTGCCAGGGTAGACTGGGATTCCAGACGCTGATACCCTCTGGGGGAAATAGGCCTGCAAGGTTTGTCATAGCACTCATCAAAGTCCGATCAATGTCCGTACTTTGAATATAAACCTAGAGTGGGAAAATCAAAGGAGATTCCAACTGATTGGAACTGTGCATTTTTCCCCGTGGAGCAAAGAGTACATTTGAGAAAGGCCAGGACACTCATATGAAAACATTAGCAAACATTGTGGTAGCATCATGATCATAATATCTACTGTAGAAGAGACAGTATTATGAGAATTCCACCTGGTATGTCAATAGTTGAATTGACAAAGAGACCAATTAAGTGGTGGCTAATTGCCAAGCCAATGGGTGTCCATAAAATTTTGCACTTAGTCATGTTCATAAATTTCTTAGGAACAAAGTATTTGTATAGAGAGGAGTACATTTAGGGTGCCTGGGTGGCTCAGTTGGTTAAATTACTGCCTTCGGCTCAGGTCATGATCCCAGGGTCCTTGGATAGAGCCCTGCATCAGGCTTCCTGCTTGGAGGGCAGTCTGCTTCTCCCTCTCCCTCTGCCCCTCCCCCCTGACTCATGCTCTCATTTTCTCTCTCTCTCTCGAATAAATAAACAAAATCCTTAAAAAAAGAGGAGTACATTTGTAAATAAGATCTCTGACTTGTGTAAGTTCTTTGGGAAACTGGAAAAGCACTTTTATAAATGCAACATTATGTTAAATTCTTTCAAGGAAATAGGTTCCCACTCTTGGCTCCCCAACTTGCCTGTTCACGTTTGTAGGACTCATTCAAAAATTTTCTATATCTTTTCCTTATATACTGTCCAAGTTCATAATGCTGTTCCATGCCCAGCTATGGGAACAAATAAAAGCAAAAATCAGTGAAAGTAAATTCTGTGTATTTCATGTATGAGTCTCATCTCTCCTTATTGAATGTGTAGAGCAAACCATGGTGTAATTTCATAGTTCGACAACGACATATTTTTAAATGAAAACAAGAAAAAACAGTTGTAATAAATCTTTAGCCATGACTCCTTGAGAAAACTCATGCACCTTCATTAGCACTTAACATAGAGCTTTGCACAGTTAATAGCTGGTGATTGATCTAAGTAAATCGTTCATCTCTGGTGTGGTAGAACACCACTGGCTCATCTTTGTTGGTGAAACATTCAAGACAGCTGGTTGACCACTTGGTGGAGGTTTTGTGGAAGAAACTCAACCATCTGATAACGGGTTGGACTTGATGAATCTGAAGATCACTGTCAACCTCTGGGTATAATGATTTATTATCTGCACAGTTTATTTACGCCTGGTTCCTGAAAAACTAGAATCTGTCACCCAAAGTGTGGTCTGGGGATCAGCAGTATTAGCATCACTTGGGAGTATGTTAGAAACCAAAGTCTTAGGCCCCACCTTGACCTTCTGAGCCAGAATTTTTGGCAGGGAGTGGAGCTCGGGAACCCCTTTTTAACAAGCTTATTAAAATTCTGATGGCCAGTAATCACTGAGAAATATTGCTTTAGTTCAGTGATCCTCAAGCATTACTGTGCATCAGAAGCAAAATTACCTAGGGATGCTTGTTGAAATGCAGATGCTTCAGCATTTCCCCCAGAGATTTCCTGCTTGTTAGATCCCAGGGTGGCCCTGGAATCTGCATTTTAACAAGTGCCCCGAGTGATTCAGATCCGTGCAGCAGAGTGCCATGCTTTGAGAAACACTACCTTCAAGTCTGTCTTTAATCCCGAGTTTTATTAGAACTTCAGGAATCAGAGAGGATGTGGTCCCTATAACCTCTGCTTGGCCCGACTCCTTCCTTTGCTTGTATTCCTGGCTACCATGATCATCACCACCCCCCTAGGATGGGGAAGGAGGTGGGGAAAGAGTAATGTGTGCTCTGAGTTTTGCTAGTTTCCTGGATGACATGGGTAGCTAAAGAAGCAGGTACTTTGGGCCTAATTTGTTGTACTAACTTACAGCTGAATTTTGAAGAGTCATCTTCTATAGCGCAGTGGTTTTCAACTGTCAGCATGCACAGAATCACCTGGAGGATTCATTAAAATAAGGTTCCCAGAAATGAAGCCCAGAGTTTCTGGTTCAGTGGGGAGGGCCAGACAATTTACACTTCTGACAAGTTTCCAAGTAATGGTGATGTTGCCTGTCCAGGGACCACACTTTGAGAACCACTGACTTAGAAAGCCATCACCTTGTCATTATGTAGATTGCAAGTACCTGGCCAAGGGCAGGAATTTGAGCTCTAGAACCTTGCGACTTCAAGAGTGGCCATGTACCAGCGTCACTGGCTTCACCTTGGAGTATATTAGAAATAAAGACTCTTAGGCCTATGTCAGACCTGCTGAATTAGAATCTGCATTTTTTCTTTTTTTCCCCAAGTCTTATTGAGATATAATTGACATACATCACTGTATAAGTTCAAGATATACAGCATACAGTTTGGTAGACACACACACACACACACACACCCCTCATAATGGAATATTATTTAGCCATAAAAAATGATAAAATCCTGCTGTTTATGACAACATCGATAAACATTGAGGACTTTATGCTAAATAATATAAATAATATAAGCCAGACAGAGAAAGACAAATACTATATGATCTCATTTATATGTGAAATCTAAAAAAAATTTTTAAAACCAAACTCCTAGAAAAAGGGATCAGATTTGTGGTTACCAGAGGCAGGGGATGGGGGGGAGAGGATTGGGGAAAAGGTGGTCAAAAGGTACAAACTTCCAGTTACAAGGTAATAAGTAGTAGGGATTTAATGTACAGCGTAACGACTATGGATAAAATAGCTCTATAATACATATGAAAGTTGTTAAGAAGGTAAATCCCAAGAGTTCTCATCACAAGGAAAAATATTTTTTTTTTTGCTTTCTCATTTTATTGTATCTCTATGAAATGACAGATGTTGACTAAATTTATAACAGTGATCATTTCATAATATATGTTCTCTCGTTTAAGGAGCCGAAAGCTGGGTAGGAGTGAGGTATGGTGGGAGGAGCTCTGACCGGGGAGCCAAAAGATGCTGACCTCAAACAGCCTCTGTGGGATTTCTCCTCTATGAAACATTGTGGTCGAATTAGGGAAGTGATTCTCAGACTTGGCTGCACATTAGAGTCAACTGATCAACTAAGGAGTTTCTAAAAATCCCAATGTCCAGGTCATACCCTAGATGAATTAAATAAGAATCTCTGTCTGGGAGGCAGACAGACATCGATATTTTTTAAAGCTCTCCAAATAATTTCAATGTTTAGCCAAGACTGAGACCCATTGGTTTAAATGCTTAGTTACATATTTGGTTAAATGTTTAGAGACATTCAACTCTAAACATTCTATGACATTTTCTTAATGTATTTAAACATTGCTTTGGTCGGGACAGAAGCAACACACGTGGTCTCTGGCTCCAAACAGAAGAGCCATCCACTCTTGCAAGAGAAGGGAGTGGGTCACGGGGGCAGTGACTACAGATGCCTCTGTCCCCCACCAACCCCGCCTTCACCTTCTCCTTTGGTGCTCTTTAGGAAGTAGGGCTCCCTATGTTTAAGACCATTTATAAGAAGGCCTCGATCCCAGTATATCTAGCTGATTAAAAATAAAATTTGATATCAGCACTTCCAGAGGAATCCTGTCTTCCCAACCCTGCCGATTCAGTTTATCGATTATAATATTATTTTCTACTTCCTCAGGAAGAGGCTGAGAAACTCAGGGGGCAGGCTTCCAAGTATCTCTTGGCTCTCCTCAGCATCTTTAAGCTAATGTATTCATCTGTTGCCATGCACAGCTCTTAGGCTTTAATAAACCCAAACAGGGCAAAAAAAGATCAAAACGAGCAATTTTATACAATTTTCCTACAGTTACTAGTCACTAGGGGTGACTTGGTCATGATCAGAAATTGTCGAAGTTAAACATTAGTGCCTCGCCTTTCACAATCAAAACACATTTTCGACTTTTAGTTCCTAGGTAATTGTGCAAAATAATCTCCCAGATCTGAGTAACTGAAGTGGTTATATGGTTTCAATGTATTACAAACTCCACATAGTTTCCCTTAAGACTCATCAGCAAACTTTAGTTGAAAATCCAACCAACCTGAGTGAGTTGGCCAAATCCTTGTGGCCATGAGGATTCCTTAATGGCGTCGTTAGGAAAGGTTTCAATGGGACTTCGGTCTCCATGCCTAAATACCTGAAAATAGATCAAGACAGTAACATTACAAATTTCACTTAGGTGTTTTGCCTCAGCTCATCCTAATAGATTTTCTTCTAAACCACTGGTTCTTAACCTTGGCATGTGGCCAGGGCATCAGGATTTTAAAGACATCCCCAGGTAAGGGGTGCCTGGGTGGCTCATTCGGTTAAGGGTCTGCCTTCAGCTCAGGTCATGATCTCAGGATCCTGGGATCGAGTCCTGCATTGGGTTCCCTGCTCAGCGGGGAGTGTGCTTCTCCCTCTCCATCCGCCATCCCCCCTGCTCATGCTCTCTCGCTCTCACTCTCTCAAATAAATAAATAAAAGAATCTTAAAAAAAAAAAACAAAAAAAGACCTTCCCAGGTAAATCTCAGGTTAAGAAGCGCTGTTTTAAGCTCACTAACACTTTCTTGTGTTTCAGGTAATGTAAGTAACAAGACGGTCAGTCATTAGAAAGCAGGTGAGTCACTCATGGAGACTGGTTTGTATATTGGGGCAAGAAGGAACACAAAGCTTAGCAAGATCACTTTATTGCAGACAGACTGATGAGAAGTATTCTTCCTCAATTATGGTGTTAAAATTTTTACATATGCTAAAATAGTAGATTTAAATGCCACATATAATTTGTGACCGTCTTGAGCCAATGATTAGTTTTTAGATTAGAGATAAAGGATTTATGGAGAGGGAGATTAGAAAAGCTAATTCTTAATATTTTAAGAGCATACTTCTGAATTTGCATGCATGTCATGCTATTTTGATTGCACATTTTCCTCTGTGGGGAGAGTAGTCTGGACTTCCAAAACCTTGGTATTTTATGACTCCCATGTGCTTTCTGAATAAAATACCAAACTAAATACAAAGCTATTTTGTAAGCGAAAGATAAGACATGAAAAGCACTCAAGAAATCCAAGATGACGTCTATCCTGATGCCATGATGCCAGCAAATATTTTTAATACAAAGGAGGGCCACATAACACGTTGCATTATTTGGGATTTCCTGCACTTGTCATTGACACCACCTGGCTAAGATGCTCCGGTAGACACGGAATAAGGAACAGTCCTAAATGTTGGCCATCTTCCAGATGGGATTCCAAGGAAGTGAGAGAGGCTTATAGGACCTGGGCTGTGTCTCTGGTGTCTAAAGAAAACTTATCTTCTGGTCCCCTTAACTGGTGAGAAATAAAAATCGCAGTAGAACAGGCTACAGCAAACAGAGACCATGGTGTAGTGGATCTTTTTTTTTTAAAGATTTTATTTCTTTATTTGAGAGAGAGAATGAGATAGAGAGAGAAAGCATGAGGGGGGAGGGTCAGAGGGAGAAGCAGACTCCCTGCTGACAGCAGGGAGCCCGATGTGGGACTTGATCCCGGGACTCCAGGATCATGACCTGAGCCGAAGGCAGCCGCTTAACCAACTGAGCCACGCAGGCGCCCCGGTGTAGTGGATCTTAAGAAATAATTTTGGTCAGGTAAGAAACTGCTGTTATGAATGGTCCCTTCATGGCTGGAAGAAAGGCTGCATAATCTCAGAAATTATCAAGGCTAATCATTAGTGCTCTTTTTTTTTTTTAAGATTTTTATTTATTTATTAGAGAGAGCATGAGTGTGTGTGTGTGGGGTGGCAGACGGAGAGGGAGAAGCAGACTCCCCACTGAGCAGGGAGCCTGATGTGGGGGCTCGATCCCAGGACCCTGGGATCCTGACCTGAGCCGGAGGCAGACACCAACTGAGCCACCCAGGCGCCCCTCATTAGTGCTCTTTCTATAATCCAAACATATTTTTGACTTTTTAGATCCCAGGTAATTGTGCAAAATACTTTCCTAGATCTGAGTAACTAAAACTGTTACATGGTTTCAGTAGATTATAAATCCTACAATGTTTAGTTTCCAGGGCTTCTCAACCTCAGCACTGTTGACATTTTGGGCTGGATAATTCCTTGTGAGGGGCCATCCTGTCCAGTGAAGAATGTTTAGCAGCGTGGCTGGCCTTTGCACACTAGATGCCAGGAGCAGTCCCTAATTGTCATCACCAAAAAGTTCTCCAGACACTGACAAATGTGCCATCGGGGGCAAAATCATCTCTGGTCGAGAACTCCTGAGTTAGCCAAAGGGAAGTCAGATGAGAGACATTGTAGCAAAATAATTTACAACACTTCCTACCAGCCTATGACCACAATAACTCTTCAAGGTGTTTTGAATGCTTGCTGTGTTCCAGAAACTGTGCTAAATGCTTCTCATGATTGAATCCATTCATCAGTTCTCCAAAGCATTTATGATTATTGTCTTCATTTCACAAACAAGGAAATCAGCCCTAGGTAAGTGACCTCCCCAAGGTCACACAGCGTGTAAGTGGCACAGCAGAGAGCCAAACACAAACCGTGTGCCTTCAAAGCCAGCATTCTTAACCCGTGTAAGGGGCTCATTTCTCTGCTAAAACGCACCCCTCAGCATCCCACCACCAGTGGGTGATCTGGGATCTGGGGCTTCTTTATAAACTCTGGTCTTTTCCTCTGAGATTGGAAGCTCTGTGTGTTGCGGGGGGAGGGGGAGGTGTTGCACTAGAGGAAAACCTTGATGTAAGAAACAATCCCAAATCCTATTTAAAAAATAAAACTGAGATTATGCATCTAAATGACAGTATAGGCTGGGGAGAAAAATAAGCATGGTTCCCTTAGAGGAGGGTTAAACAGCAGAACCCTGGAACATAATCACAGGTTTGAACAAGTTTTCTTACTCTGTCCTTACAGGTCAGGAATAATTGTACTCCCTTATACTGTAGTAGGTTTTAAGGGTTTTTGAGGTAGTGACTCACACATGCTGTGAGCTCTTCAGAAGGGGTGTCTCCCAGAGACAATTAATAAACCATCCCTTCCCTGCCCCCAGATGCTGGAAATCACTATGTGTGCGGGTGCATGCGCCCGCATGCATATGTTAGTACCCTCAAGTGCACACGTGCATTCTTGAGCTCCTGGAGTTTCAGCTGGAGCCTCTGGACTGTGCCTCGGTGCTCTTTTTTTTTTTCTTTCTAAAGACTTTATTTATTTATTTGACAGAGAGAGAGACAGCGAGAGCAGGAACACAAGCAGGGGGAGTGGGAGAGGGAGAAGCAGGCTTCCCGCCGAGCAGGG